AAAGCTGGAAATTGAAAACACCGTAATATTTGGTGCCATACTAATAAATATTACATGTACATGGTTTGAATAAACAGAAACAGTTGTAAGAATAATTTTAGAAACAGTTGTAAGAATAGCTATTGCAAGCATAGTCTTTGGCTATTTTAAACAGGTTATTGCAGTAGATATAAAGATTCACTTCTACAGTCCAAACTTTAATCGGTATTGTGTGCGCTACAGTTACGCAGCAACGATAAAAGTTAGTGCATTAGGCCCAAAATTCTGAGCAAACTAGTAATTTAAGATGTGACAATATTATAATTTCCAATGAATATTGTAATTTCGAATCTACAGAAGAAGCTCAAATATACTCGTTAACAATTCTCTTCAGAAAGCAATCATCGACTGTGACATGAGGTGTATATCGATTTCAAATTTCTGGGTAATAGGTAACAGGTGATTTGTCTTTATTATTCTACCATGCAGCTATGAAAATAAACTTAGATTAACTAATAATAAAATAAAATCATTGATAAGCAGTTAAGGAGCTCATTAAAATAGACGCATCCAAGAACGATCTGTTTGTTCCGTTGCATTCATACCATAACATACACTCCAATAATCAAGTTATGACGCGCTTAGAGAACGTCTTGCGGGACACAACAAAAGTAGTACCAGGGTTCGAATTTGCTGGAAAGAGTGCTGACGTTTCAGGCGATTGACACAAGCTCTGAATATGGCTGAACGTATGCGATCTTGTTTAATGCATTATTGTAATCACTAGTCCAATCAAACGTTACCTGTAATATCCAACAATTTAACAAGATCGTTAAGAATTCAAGTACACATTCCCCGGAAGAGAACCATTATCTCACTCAATCATAACATGGAAGTGGAAATGAATAAACGATAGGCTGAACCCTTTGCGGACACGTTGGGCGTTGATTCCATGCCCCTACGTCAGGTCGAAATTCACTTCGTTAACACATTAGTCAACATATTCCAATTTGAGAGTTGTATCTTCTTTCTCATAACAGTCGCACTAAAATCATACAGAAATAAATTCAGGTGATAAAACATACGTTGTAAAACAAAAATGACACTTACTCTGATAAACAGTTTATTGTCAATTCTTTCGACTTCAAAGATGGGGTGTGTATAACTTCGAGAACGATCTCACGGTCTGTAGTCTTTAATCAGTGGCAAATCTATTTCTATAACGTCTAAATCCTTAAAAGTTTTTCCTTTCGTACGTTTAAGTTTTCCGTCGATTTGAGTAATAGCCTAAAATGCAAATTGTCAAGTCAAGGCTTATTTATTATATACTCGAGGAAAATACGTACTATTGATTTTGCGTCTTTTTGACGAAACTCCGAATTACGCCTTTTAGGAACAGTTTTTGACCATATCTGGACGTAAAAATTTTAAACGTTATTGAGAAAAACAAGTAAAGGAATAGCAATAACGCCAACAAGAAATAATACCCGTCCGTTTTGAAGCAATCACTATTAATAGACTCTCCCGGAAGCTTGGTTTTGCCATAATTGAGTTTAAACAAAAACATATTACGTGTATTTACACAACCAATCAGCTTCATGCATATACAGCATTTCCGTGGTTCTAGAAATTTCCAATATTCCGTAAAGTATACTATTTTTAATAGACAAATCGATTATGGTCAGAACATTTTAGACACTTTGGTTATCTGTGTTGACGGAGTGCTTTCTTCTTGATTTTTACCACGATAATAATATCTGATTATGGATAAAGCAGAATTTTTAGTTTCTTTGTCAACACTGTAAGTTTATAGATGGTTCAAGACGTTTAGTTGCTTGAACATTATTAGCATATTACCATGCTTGCAATTCTTTATCTCCAAGATTTTTATCCAACTTTACTGTATTCTAAGTCTTACATAACTTTTCAGAAAGACGTAATTATGAGAAGAGCTTGCGTGAATATGAAGAGAAGCCTTTTTGCTGTCTATGAGCATGTTTATTAACTATGCAAATTCCGTTGAACAGTATGAGTATAAGCCAATTCAAAAGATGTTTCTATACCCATTTTTGGTAAAATCCCAGATTGTATTTTATTCGATAGAGAAAATTTATGATGCTAATCTAAACGGCGATAGTGACTGGTATTCGTGGTTTTTGCGGAATACTTGAACAAGTCTATATGTTTCGTCCCATACTCGAAACAACTTTCTTTACGGGATAGAATTTGGTGTATTTCTATAACTACATTTTGTATAATACGGTAATCGAAATAACCCATATAGTTTTTTACAGTCGGTTTCGTTGCGTATTTTAAGAGATATCGTGAGCTCGCTAAATTTAGCTTCGCACTAACAGGAAGAGTTTGAATACAAGTTTTTCTATTTTTGGTATTCCGAAATCCACCTGCTTTATCAAATATTGAGTCGCATTTAAATGATGTGATCTTCAAAACTCTATAAATTAGTAAGGTTACGAACAAAGTACAGATAGGGCCAAAGTAAAACGCGTCTATTAAAGCGAGCCAGAGGAGAACTTGTCAGAGAATATAAAACAATACCACGGAAAGATAACAGAACGATAATAAAGGAAAAGCGCGTACATGTAAAGTTCAAGTAACCTCTAATATCGTATCACATGTTCACGCATAACATTCATCTCACGTGATAATACTGGAAAGTGTTAAAGCGTTCTTGATCGAGTTAAAAGTTCTACAGAAAGCATTACCAATTTTTATTCGCGCAATCTTTGTAAGTTGAATGCCAGAAAAGCCTCATTACAAACTATTTAGCAAATAGTTAGTTTTGTATATTCCGAACTAGCTTATTTAATCCAGTGTCCCTGACCAGAAGAGTGGTGCGTCCCATAGCGACAGGGCTCAAAAAAAATGCAATATTACGTGATCACATAACATATAACGTCAATTTACAATTCCTTTCACGTGAATGTAATTTTTTATTTCACGCATTGTTAATTTGAGCGAGATAATTATAAAGAAACGAAAAGAAAAAATTATACCCGTCAATGTTTATAAATACTATGTACAACAAGGGATTGGTAGTAGCATAAGAAGAGGAGGAGGAAAGGGAAAGAGAACAAACATCGGTAGCCCAATTGCCAGATTGAGCAAATAATATACTAGGTCAAGGTTGTTAAATATATCGCGCTCACACACACTCCCCCCTCCGGCAAAACATTCACAACATTCTCAAACGTCGTTGATTATTTTTTTGCGTTTCTACCCCTCCCCATCAGACATACACATATATCGTCATGTGGCATCTCTTTACCCCTTAACTTCTATATCCCTCCTTCGCCGACCAAGCAGGGTAGCGCCATCTAAATTTAAACCGAAATCAGATAGGTTGGCCGGAGACGAGTTTCCTTCATTTTGCACGTTATGATCATCGCTAGTATCCATATAATCGGTATCACTATCATCATCATCCGAGAATTTAGAGCGCAAAACCTGCTCTGTCTTCGTATTCTCTTCCATCTCTTCTTCTTCTTCTCCTTCTTCATCATCATCGTCGAGATCGTTCATATTTCCCAAATTCTTGGCCAATATCTGTTGACGTAGATCTTTCGGTTGCGTTTTCCGCAACATCTTTTTCCGCGCTCGTTCTTCTTCTATCCTGTGTACCGTATAACAGACATCAAACGCGTCCTTTAGTTGTTGGAAACCCGGTGATAGCACCGGTGGTTTCGACAACGGTATGTTTGGCGTAGTCGGACTCATGATTTCTTCAATCTGTAATGGGGATGCCGGCATTGCCAGGGGATTAAACGTGGATGGGGCCTGAGGTGAAGGTTGACTGGGCTGAGGCTCGGACTGGATACCAGAATAAAAAAAAGAGAATGCGAGAAAAAGAATAGGAAAAGGAAAAAATGAAAAAAAAAAATGAAAAAGAACGAGGATGAATTTAGTCAAATGCGTTTAATTAAGGCTAGGCCCTTCTTGATAGGCGTTTTGCGAAAAGTCTTTCTCCCCATCCTTAAACCCTTTATATCAACCTCGTTCTTAACCCATGGATGTTCAAAGAATTCTTTTATTGTGTATCGTTTTGATGGATCAACTTCTAATAGATGCGAAACCAAGTCCTTTGCTAAATAATTTAAAATGTTTGATTAGCCACTCAGTAACAGTTTCGAGTGAATACAATTATCGCATCATGGGAGGGCTGTTTTCATCGACGGAAACTATTCTCAATCGATAAAACCCACTATCCCTTTTCAATTCGTCAACCCCCATTCCATTAAACCACCTACTCACCAGAATCACTGATTCCGTCCCACCAAGGGCTTAAAAAGCTATATTGTCCTTTGGCGACCTTTTCACTGAGTACCGGTATACTCTCATCATAGAACGGTGGAAATCCGCACAGCATGGTGTACAGTACACATCCCAACGCCCAGATATCAACGCTCTTGCTATATCTTTCATCCTTGACAATTTCAGGAGCGGTATATCCAACAGTACCACACGGCGTCTTTGTATGCTGGTCCCATACGACCTTGGAAAGACCAAAGTCTGCAATCTTTACCCGCCCGATTCCACCGCCACCAACTCCGGGTGTGAATTCACCTTCTGGTACCTTGGGCTCATCCCCCGGAATTGGTGGGGGCGGAGGAACTTTGGATGGGATTACGGGAATTGGGCTAAAGAGAAGATTTTCGGGTTTGATGTCGCTTTTTTTTGTGGTAAAAAACGAAGAAAGTGGGTAAATATATTCCCAAGTCAATTATTGAGTATTTAAACGATTGCCATATATAAATCCCCACCCGTATACTACTCACCGATGGACAACACCCTTTTCTTCGTGCAGATATCTTATTCCTTCGGCGACCTGGACAATAACATGCCTCGACAAGTTTTCCGAAAAATACGTCAACTTTACTATCTGATTAAACAGCTCTCCGCCCTCCATGAGCTCGAGCACTAGGTAATAGTAATCGTTCGACTCGCTAAATGAGTATAACGAGATTATGGAGGGATGATTAAGTTGTCGCATGATTCGGACTTCTTTGAGAATGTTTGCATGCTGCTTATATGCCGGTTTGATATTATCACCAGGAGACGAATTGGAAGATTTGGAAGATTTGGACGATTTGGAAGATCCGAAAGACGTACAGTCGGGACAGGCGGAGGATGTATCAGTAAGTTTAGAAGGAGGGGGTATAAATAGTAGTTTCCACGGACAACCGAGGGAGGGTGGCAGTAGTTTTGAAAAGTAAAGAAGAAAGACAAGATAAGTACCAAAAAAGCGATATTGTATTTAACTAGATAGAGAGGTGAGCAAGACATGAAATCAAAACATGCCCAACTCAATCCAATCCAACCTAATCCAACCCATTTGTTCTCGCTCTCTCCCCTCTCCATTGCATCCTCGGATAAAAGGTAAAACATGTCTAACCTCAGTCATTTTCGGTTTCTTTTTTAAATCCTTGTGAAGATGAGTCTGTCGTTGACAAACGAATTTCGTCAGAATAAAGCGGGTGTCTCTCTTTTTGATGAAATCGCGCAAAAGTTCATGTGAATGCTTACCGCTGATTCTTTAAAGTCTCTTTTACGCACGATTTTTATTGCTACTTTTTGACCAGTCACCTTGTCAACGGCATTATAGACATTACTGAATGCGCCTCTGAAGTTCATGAAAGAATAAAAATCCCAGAGTTATAATATCGGACATTACTTGTCAGATTCCCCGACGAACATCTCGGTTATTTGATACTTACTCTCCCATTTTCTCAATCAGCTGGTATTTTTCCAACCCGGGATATACAGGCAGTTTGTTCTTTTCCTCCCTCTCCTCGGCCACAATCTGCTCGACTACTGTGGCCTTGTTGAAATCGTTGTTGGACTCTTTATTAGCCTTCCTGTCTACAGAGTTTGCGGCACCTTGAATGTCATAGTGTCCTTTTTGTTTAGCATGTTTGCCGTGACGGATAAAGTGTTTTATTTGATCAATGACAGGCATTTTTGAAGAAAAAAAAGCAGGGTTCGAGTATCGATTATAATTGTTACAGTATGTTAGGAAAAAAGCTATATAGAATGGTGAGGGACGTTAATGTATTAAATAGAAAATGTTTAAAATGTCTCACACACGTTGATCAAGATTGGTGGTTTATGACATCTGAATGATGCAATCGAAATCCAAATAGGTCTTAAGGTAAGAATGTTTAGAATGTTGCTTTTTTTCCCTTTTCTCCCCTGTAACAGGACTATATATATACCGTATCCGCATGCAAACGATAAACTGAAAGGTGAAAAACTGAGGATAATAACAGGAAAGGATTTGCAAAATAGATATAAGTATTAATTATTATTATTATTATTATTATTGATATTTAAAGGTTTACGTAAACGAAAAAACGGAAAACGGCCCATTAATTCCGTATCCAGAACTAAACATACCTCACCCAAAATGGAAACAACCAACGGGCAAAACCTGTTGAAATGCAATTGGACAAATGTGAGAAAAACGCACTCTCAGATGATGTAATATCGTTACTAAACGGGTATAGCTGCGATTCGACCAGGTATTTGTTATTCGGAATACTCCGGAATAACCGGGAGAGGTATTTTTATTAACTTAACACGAGGGATTAAGGTTTGTAGTCAAATAGTCGTCTGACTGAAAGACGCAGTACGCAGTTAAACGATGGTAATTCGGCAAGTCATGAATTAATGGTGAAACCCTCTCCTTGGCGTGAAACTTTCCTTATGGATGTTCGGTCAACCCACCTTCCCTCCCCTGTCATAGATGATCGGCTTATCACTTTTATCTAATCAACCTTCGATATTCGACCTTTGTGATGATCTATAATGGAACATATTGTGATGACCGATGAAAAAAAGCCCTTTTTAGCGCCAAGAAATGTAGCAGGCAATTGGGACGACAATTTTTAACCGTTATGTCATTATGTCATAATCAATTGGTTGTACAACGCCCGCATGCACACAACCCCATTTTGTGACATTAAGGTGTAAACTTTTCATCTTCTAGTTTCTATCCCAGAGCAACGTATGTGGCTGATGACCTACGTCAGTTCTTTCAAAACAGTAGATTTTCATATTCGATAACGCACTAAACTAAATTTAATATTCAACGCGGGCAGGGAAAGTAGCGATCACACGAATACTTGATACTGTTCATTGTTTGTGCTTGCCGAAAGGACGAATGTGGCAACAGCTAATAACAATGTCTATTTACAATGTCGCATATTATGCATGCGAATTTACACACAGTTTCTCTTTTAGCATTAAACCTAGCATTTGTCTTGGAATTTAAGTTATGTGGCGGCTATTTATTTTAGCAGGAATGCAATGAAAATGAGCGTGCGTGAACGTCATGAGCGTAATAACGGTTAAAATTAATGTTGAACGTTACACGTGCATGTTTTGGTGCTAAACAATTGACGGCGCCTATTTTGGACATTCATGTGACGTTAAAAAAGAAGAGTTTATTAATATTTCAGCATATTTGACTGTGAATCTGTCTATCTACATCGAAAGTATGACCATGCAATCGAGTATTTGCCTGCTCACTTTTATCTATCTTAACTGATAGTAATAGTATACCATGCAAATGTGAACTTTGTTAAGCGAAATGTGCGAGAGAGTCCGAACAAAAACCTGTTGGTTGGTCTGTAAACGATGATGTCAGCGGAGAAGAAAACATATGCTTATGTTATCTTCATTCTAAGTATACTATCATTTGACAATATTTGCACCAAGTTGTATTTGTTGATTTGTTGAATTATGGGAAACGCTTTCATTTTCGAGCGGGAACGTTTCCCTGTGTTTGATATAAGTGTCATTTTTATTGAAACGGTAGATTATTAATAAGAAGAACTATCACAGAAAATAAGGCTTTCGATCACGTATGCTCATTATTCTTCCCAAATTCTCTAAATCCAATGACACAATTCAACGTGCTTTATCATCATTTGGTCACACAAACTTTATGTGGCGCCCAACAATTTGGAGTCTTATTCTCATTCTCTTTACCTTTTTGTCTTTTCTGTCTACGCACTATCTCAAGAAATCATTCGCAAATGGCTTCTCAAGTTCAAACAAACATATCGTCCTTTTCTGCTGTAACGTCAAGTTTCAAATCCTATATCAAATCGCTGCCTTTGCTAACAACAGCAATAGCAGTAGAGGCAATACTGGTGTACGTGCTAGAAGCCATACAAATATTCGGAGAGGATAAAGTGTTTAAGACTCTTGGTCTACTACCGAAAAAATTCTTTAAGGGGTCAGGTTAGAACGTGTGGAGGGGGCAAGGGAAGAAAACAAAAAAAAGGGGGAGGAAAGCCAAAGGAAAAGGAAAGGAAAGGAAAGCGAGTGCGTAAGGTTAATAGTAATTGGAATTGGGATTCGACCAACGTTTAGTAAGCTAACGGTCATTTTATCTTTACATTACCATTGACATTCCCCTCTATTCCACCCCTGTTGCCTGTGATTTCCAACAACTATATCGTCCGCAGTCTACCGTCTTGTATCTTATCCTTTACCACATCTCACCCTTGGACATCTGTTGTTCAACCTCCTCGTTTTCATTCCGCTTTCTTCCACGATCGAACATACGCTTGGCACTTTGGAATACCTCTATGTCTTGTTCAACATATTTACGCTCTTGTCTGGATCAATCTATCTTGCATTGTCATCATTGTTTGATTTTACCGAGGATGTCATACTCGGTGGCCTAAGTGCTTGGGTTTTTGGTGTTGTCGTTTGGGAGAGTCGAGAATTGGCCGGACGCGAGAGAGAGTAAGTTGAGAGATTAAAAGGATGGAGGGGAGGGAGAGACGGAGAGACGGAGAGAAGGAGGGAAGGAGAGGAGGGAAGAAGAGGAGGGTAACAATCAACAAATACGTCGTATATGCGTTGATCGTGTTCAAGAGGAAAGGGGATGGAAAGAGATACTCGCCCGACCAGAAGAGCGAGTATCACGCGCGGCCTAAAACGTTACTGTCGTGTCGTTGTCTTGCTTTGTCACAACGCTAGATATTTACTTTTTCTTTTCATTATCTTGGTTCCAGTATATGCGGTTTCTTCAGAGTGCCGGCTCATTTTTATCCACTCGTTCTGCTACTGCTCATGGAAATCCTCTTTCAACATTCGTGGTTCCTTGCTCATTTATGTGGACTGTTTGCTGGGTTTTTATGTGAGTCGATTTCTAAACAATTATACTTTTTTATAGACATGCTCAAAAAAACGATCCACTTGTCACATAACTAATGCGTATTCCCATCACCCCATATCAATTCCCATATTCAATATTAAAGATTCTTTTGGCTACCTCTCGCGCGTCCTTCCCTCGTCTTCATTCTTTTCCCGCTTGGAATCACGCGTACCATTTTCATGGATGGCTAAATGTGGCAACTTTGTTAAAGCTTCCGAGGGCAGTCGCGGTGGTTGGTGGTTACCACTATGGAATGACGATACGTTGGAGGATGCGATCGATGTGGCCGGAGAGGATCTTGAAGAGCAACCGTGAGTACATACTATATTTTTCAGTGCACAGAACTCGCGCGTTTGTTATGAATGGTGTAATTTAACAATCTCATTCGTTTTTTATTTCTAGCCACCCAACAAATTCCCAACCACTTCAAACACAAAAGGCAGCTCGTAAGCCTACCCAAATTACGACGCCTGTCTTTGCTGTTGCGTCTTCCGTTTCTTCAAGTGAATCTACGTCTCCAACCGTTGCGGGCAGTGAGGTTATTAGTGCGATTATGAATACGAATGAGAATAAGAGCGGGAGTTTTCATATTGAGTTGGGTGGTAGTAGTCATCAAGAGGAACAAGTTAAAGATGCAAATGAGAATGGATCTGGGACTCTTTCTGGTGACGTGTCGACATAGACGATAAAATAATGAAGAAAAGGATGCCAAACTATTTTTTTGGAGGGGAGTGGGACTGGTTTGGTTGGTTGGCTATACAATTCGAGACTATAATTTCATCTTAATAATTTTGTATATATATAAACTGTTGGCTTTTGCTATTATTAATAAACATAAATTATTAATTTCTTACGTGAGAGCGATGACATGTTCAGTGAACTATTGTCTATTAGTACCTTCGTTGTATCATATAGATCCGCCAATTTTACAAAGTAATTTCTCCTGTCTATAGTCACTTCGGTCTATAATCACCATTTCAATGTGCCAGAGTCAGTAAGTCAGGTTTAACAAAATTCTCCGTTCTATCGCCTGATTTCGTTAATGGATGCATTCGTTAGTATTAGAGCGGATTTTATCTATAATAACGGTTTCGAAAAAACTTCGTTATAAACCATTTTCGTTAAACCAGACTTTACTGTGTATCTAATTCGCACTTCAAAATTATCCTCGTCCAAATATAAATCCTTGCTGTAATTGCAAAATTACCAAGTTTCAAGTGAATTTGTGTGAATTGCCACCAAAAATAATGTTTGCACCAGCGCACCGCTTATTTCAGACAAATTTACCTTGTTTGGTTTTGATGTTCTGTCATCACGTGCTGGAGTAATTTTTCGGTCCCGTTGATAACTATTGTTCTTCTTTAAATGCTGTATTGACCAATCATATTATTATAATCCCTTTGTAAATGGAAATTTAATCATTTGTATTTTGTGTTGCATGTCACTAACTCTAAATGCATGCACACACCCACATGAACTATCGCTATAGTATATAGTAACTATTCTCTGTATCTGTTACGAATACAATATCTCTTACACTAAGCCAAGACCTAATAAGTCAGTCGTCTAGAGTTTCATCAGCCACATGCTACACCAATCAGCATGAAAATTCAGAGCCAAACCCATATGGAGAAGTAATTCCTCAAAATCGTACATTCTTTCCCGTTGATATTGAAAAAAGACATAGAACTTCTGTTCGGTTTGACAACTACATTGTTTAATAACACATCCCAAACTGTATGTACCGGTATTAGTATTGGGAGTGTGAAGAGGGCTGATGACAAAATAAAATTACAAACAGGACAAATTACTACAAGAATTAGAACAAAGAGATAACGATTTTTCTTTCACACAAAACCAATTTCAAAACCGAAAAACTCCGAGCCGATACTTACGAAAACGACAGTTTGTTTGCCAGGCCAAGGATTCCATATTAATATTACTAAACCGAAAATTTTCCATATTAATATTAATATAACGTTTCACGCTTAACAAACTTAGGGATAAATAATCAGTACGCGATCGTCAATATCAATAGGTTGCCCTATAGCGTATGCAACGATAGCCAGTCATTTCCATATCTGTTATTGCACTAACGCTAAGCTAAGTAGCAGCGTAAAGGTTCGACATTTCGCGGATTTCCATATCTGTTATTGCACTAACGCTAAGCTAAGTAGCAGCGTAAAGGTAGGAACTTTTATGTACCACACTATTTTCGACATTTCGCGGATAAAGTCAAACCCCAAGGGTGGACTAAACTATATGTGGGAGATTGTTTACACGTCAATGAACAGATATATAAACATGCGACGATGCGTTTTTTTCTCGTTAATATTGAAATCAACACATCATCTCACTCATAATGATAGTAATAACCAAATACTTTGCAGCCGCTATTCTTTTCAGTCTCTTTATTGCGACTGGATCCTATTCCGTTCCAACCAATCATTCTGTCGGAAGGTACGATTGTTTTCTAATTAATCATCAGTAAATAAAAAAGAAACAACAATGTATGTATGCAAACCTTACAATACTGGTAATTTATAAGGCAAACTTTTCGATCAACGGGGTCAACAACGACTTGTCTGGCGACAACAACGATTTATAGGTATTTCTTGTTTTAGATGTAAATAACCTAATCATTGGGATAAAACTAAAGCTAATGTTCAAATTCGTTAAATTGTCTATTTCCAATGTATGTATACAGTACAATTACTCCTATCCTGTTACCACGTCCAACGACAACATCAGCTTCGCCTACTAGCAAAAGTGATGCTAAACACTCTAGTGACAATAATTCGGATATGGTGCAATTAACAAACAACTTTAGTATTTTGGTCAAAGCGATAATTGGTACTGCCAGCCTTGTCGCTCTTGGTATCCTTGTTTATTTTGTTCGAACGATGTACTATCTGTTCGGAGCAGAAGACAATTTGTCCTTTAAAATCAAATGTTTTATGTTTGTGTGTAATCAAATAAATAGAACAGATATCGATATTGAATAGCAATTATCAGTTAAGTAGAGTGGATAAATTTCTATATAAGCCAGTATTTGTATTAGAAATAAATTTACGATAAACACTTTAATAACAAACTCTTGCAAGCGTAAACCGTTTTCTCGCTAACAATTTTATTCTATTAAATCTATTATTTCTTCGTGATTTCCGATTGGTAATATATTAAATCTACTTTATATCCCCCCGAAAAAAACTCATCTGCAATGACCATACTGGTTATTTGATTATGGTACAAAATCATGTCATGTCTTTTAGCCCTTTTAATTGATAATTTATTCTTGCAAATTGTCGTTTTAGAATAGTCTGTTAAAGCATCAGAACTGACAATTATCAGACAAGTATTAGTTTGCCTTCCTGCATGTACTGGGCCAAATTTAAGTATTAAACCGTTTGCTGGACCTTTTGTTGAATTTTGTCATCGAGTTACCCGGTGTAAACAAGAACAAGTAAAAAAAAAACATGCACGCGTGTAATTCGACATTTAAATAAAACCCCTCAAACACTTCTGTCGATCCATCACTCGCTTTCTCGCTTTTTTTGACCTGTAGGCAGGAGACGCACGAGAACTGTACATACACTCACTGGACAAAAGTCTACGTAATTTTTGCCGATCAATTAGTAAAACATATGAAAAATCTATTTTTTCGAA